TGTGATGGTTAGCAAAATCCTACCGTACGTCTCGTGTCGCAATATCATCATGTGCTTGTCTTTGCTACCAGGTGTAGCATGTGTGGGTGAGGGTGCCTTCAAACATAAATTACCAATAAATACACATTGTATTTAGTGTCAGGGAATTAATTGAGCTTTCCGGAATGAAAGCCTTTTGGCACAAAAATGATAAACCGAGGTTGACCTACCTGAATGGGTCCCACTGACATCAGCAGGTTTTTCAGTTGGACATCAGTAGTTGATGAAGAAAGCCCTTCAACTGACACAATACAGGGCTGAGGTTTGCACTCCACCACTCGCAGGTTCTGTTTATTTGGCATCAAGCGTCCTCGGCCCATCTGGCCTGCTACTCCTCTGCCTCTCCCGTGCATAATGACCTGCCAACAACAAAAGTAACAGTATTTTGATTTACTTACCTAGTGCTTCTGCTCGCTGCATTTGACAGACGATACAAAAGTTGGTGATTTACTTAAAGACTTGATTAAAGTACACGTTGATTTAAAACAGCTTGTTGCTGTTTGCCCATTTGAAAGGCCACTTATTAACATATTCATCCACTGCTTATACAAACCTCTTTTAGAAGGATAGCAAGTTATATATTGGGTTTTACATATATGCATTGCATTGAGGCTAAAAGCCTCAGCGTTAGGACAGATCAACCAAGCAATGGAGGGTCTCAGACCAAAATATATAACCTAGTTTTCAACACTGCTCACATCAGCAGCATGTGTTCAGCTCACATATTTTGAGTCTGGCCAAAAAAAGCCAATCAGTGATCCCTCTCCCTTTTCGCTTCTCAACCCATGGGTAAATTTAATGTACCCGCAAGACCAGCAAACTGCTTCAAGCACCTCCGCTCTCTACTGCTACCAACTCTCGGGCTGTTATCAGGATGGAGTACTCGCATATGGTAAATAACTTTAAAACAATTTTTTTCAAAGTTCCTTTCCCCCAAACCCTGTAGGATCTGGCACCACAGTATCCTCTGGAGCAGGAAATGTGTGGATTTAATTCTTGTAAATTAAAGGTTGAACAGTTGGAGAGAGGAAAAACAGCAATGAAACAGAGTAACAAACATTACACAGAGTTAACACTTAACATTGAGTTAACACTCAACATGGTTTCTTGATTCCTACTTGGAAAGTCTATGGAGGGTAACGACTTTTCATACTCCTCCGCATCAGCAAGGAAACTTTATCCTTACATGAAGCAGGAAGATTATGGCCAACAGTTCAAAACCAAGATATAACTTAAAAGCCAAAATACCAGCTATTTTCAGGGAGTGTGCCAGTTTGCAAATGCAGAAAAGGCACACGCCGGTGCCACCCGAATCCTCTCCCTACCTCCTCCCAGTGCACAATCAGTGCGAAAATCCAGTTACGAGATCACCAACTATTTTGAGCGATACCAACTTTGAGGACCGACCAAAGAACATCCTGCAACAGTCACTGTGTGCTCCTACGTATGCAGGAAACAGCCGGAATAAAAGCTTAAGCACGACTTCAGAACAACTCTTGGTTTTAAAGCCGGAAAGCATGTTGGGTACCATCTCCTACAGTAGCTATCTTGGGACGCACGCATTTCCCCCAGGGAGTACTGTGCTGGCCAGAAAGTCAGCAGATGAAACAACCTGCAGGCATCTCCAGTCTGTGCTGGGTACAAACAGGCCTCTCTAGATTAAAAGCTTTATATGCAATTATGCATCTCCTGGGTCATGCAGCCCTGTGCTAGCAATTGACAAACAGAATGCTAGTTATTAATAGAGCAACACAGCTAGACAGTAAAACTTCTAGCAGCAATATGCATCTAAAAATCACCTTTTTAGGTTGATGGATTCCCTGGATGTTTTTGACTCCTTGAGGAGCTGCTGAATGGATCTGTGCCTGCTGCTGCTGTTGGTGCTGCTGCTGTTGCATTCCCTTTGTCAATGTGACCTTCCGTACTGGCTGCTGTTTCGGCTCCGGGGGTTGTTGAGGCCGCTGGGGCTGGCCCTCTGGGTGAAAAAAGCCAGCATCCTCTCCCCCCTGCTGAAATCAACAACACAACAGGCGGCTCAATGTCCAGGCACTGCAAACCCTCGCCCTGAGCAGCCTCCTGCCACATCCAGCTCGCTCGGCACGCAGAGACCGCCCATCAGCTTGCCTGCTAAAGCAAACCAGCGGCCATGGCAGGCGTGGGCAAGGGCTCAGCCTGGAAACTGTGCTTCAGCCTAAAATAAATCCGTGGTATCTGAAGAACAGTTCACTTTGTTCAGACTTCATTATAATTACAATGCTCGATAATGTCTTTTCATATACAAAGCAGCAAGGTGTTTTCACCTCTCTTTCCAAATCATTCTTCCTTCCAGGGTTACATGTGAACTATGGTGTGCATTTTGGGTTTGTTTGTTTGTTTTTGAAAGAGACATACACATTGCCAAAGAAGGAGCAAAGAACAGTGAAGGCTGGAAGAACCAGGCAAATACTCTGCTCATCTTTAAAACTCCAATCTCTCTTTAGTTAAAAACTGGTATTTATTTTGAAGCGCATACTTATTCTGCCAGCTTCTATTCCAGCAGCCTTTTAAGCAGTCTCCTTCCTCAAACACTGTCCGTACTTGCAACAGTTCTTCCCCAAGTTTTTCTTTGTTTGTTTTATAAAGCTCCTATTAGAGATATTTATAATCACAAACGCAATGAAACACCACCTCAGTGCCTCTCTCATCCAATGTAGCTCTTTTCACTACATCACTCAGTGCCATCAAGCACAGCAAAAGCATAAGCTGAAAGCACTAAGAGAGAAATGATTCCCTTCCACTGCCTCTACCCAAACAGTTCAGTGTTTTCTACAACCAGACAGGTGATTCTTGAATTTGTGTCCCGCTGTCCAGACCAGATCAATCACTGAAAAACATCCCATGGAGCAAGAGACAGCAGAGGCCAACAAAAGATCAGGTACTTTTGCATCTATAAAGCACATCACGTTATTGCATGGTTTCAACAGCAGTATCTGTGCCTTGACTGGATTCCAACTTTGGAACTCAAATGCTAGTGAACGTTATAACTGCAGCGGGAAGGCTTTGTCTAAGGCGCTAAACAACCTCAGGTAACCCTGCAAAAGTTCTCAAATAGAAGGCATGTCCAGAGGAAAAAAAAAAAAAATACGAAAGCATCTTTATTTACATGGGTTTTTTTCCCCTTTCCTTAAATATTCACAAGTCAAAACTTCTTTTGCATCTGTAACATATGTCACAAGCCAGAGGGTTTCATGCTAACTGATGCGCTTCTTGCGGATAAGGAGACAAAATACAAGGCTGCAGAAGGAATAGGTTTGTGGTCTAAGAGCAAGATTATCTTTATTGAGAACATAAATCATTTCCTCTCTACCAGGATTAAACAAAAGCAAAAGAAACACCTATTGAGGACTGGTTACTAAGTCTCTTTGCTATCATTTGAAGATAAATAGTCCAGTACAGGTGATATGCAAGATAGTCTCACGTTTGCAAGTTCACAATTCACATCCCTAAATCAAGACCTCTTTAATATCAAGTATATGCAGGCAACAACTTCTCAAGAACTCAACCACTTAAATCCCAGACAAATCAGCTTCATCACCCCCTTGCACCGTCTACACTTCAAAAGCACAATCGGTCATAGAGAAAACCTTGAAGTTCTTCCCACTTAAGGGCTTTCATCCGCAGTGTCCAAAGTGAGAAAGCAATAGAAAACTGCATCTAGTTTTTCCACTTCTAATCACATATGTTTTTTTCTCTGCTAAACTGAATGTCCCCGTGGCTTCACAGAAAATTTTGTATATAAACCTTTGAGAGCAGTAACTAGTGAGAAATTATAAAGCTTTTCCTTCAGAGTCTCTCTCTTCAATTACTGCTCAAAAATATAAAAGCAACAGCTCTCCTCCTCTCCTGAAAAACCCAAACATACGCACACAAACAAAACCTTACCAGGAAACCAGCATTAAATCCTCCTCATTTTAGTGTTAGTTCCAATATCAGCATCACCATAAGCCCTATGCCCTGATCAGATAATTTCCTTTATTCAACCCTACAGCAGCTGGAAGATGATGAAACTAAAAGGAACAAAAAAATTCTAAGAGGAATTTAAATGCAATAATTGGGAGTTAAAATCTAATCTCTGCTAACTGCCTGCTGTGAAAAACAACCATAAATATTTGCAGCCATTTCTTTCCAAACCAAAAAGCCATCCCAGCACATAGGAAGAGCATCTGAGAGCGAAGCCCTCAGGTACAAACACATTGAACAGGCTCATTACTGAAACTTCAAAAGCAAACAATCATTTCCCATAAAAGGCTAGGATGGCCACCAACCACCCAATATTTAACTACTAAGCCCAATTATCACCAAATAAAACTGTATAAACTAAACACACAACTATGAGTGTTACAGGCATAAGCACACAACATCGGTTCACACCGATGAAAAATTTGACGGGGTTTGTTCCCTGCTGGGGTCTCAAATGCCACTTATGCGTTCACTGCTAGCATGATGCTCCTGAAAAAGTCTGAAAAGGTGGAAACCTCTCCGGACTTTTTAATGAATTAATACATTTCAGAAATAAGAAAACCTATACAAAACAATAGAGAGTCCACAGGGGAAGAAAAAGGGGATGGAGCAAGGTCTGCTTGTTCCTGCAGCAAGAAGGAAGAAAGAAAGGGCAACTGGATCAAACCCTTTCTTTATACTACTGCTCTGAACATCTACTGCTTTTTGAGATGACTTGCAGAGGGGAAGCAGAGATGAACCTGCAGCACCACTTCTCAAGAGAGGTCTGAGAGCAAGCGACTTGGTGCTCGAGGACTGACAGTGCTCCCCGCAAGCCAGCAATACATTGTTTCCCGTCACAGGTAGCCCTGGCTTCAGCTGAAGACAAAACCTGGTGGTTTTCTTCAGAAAATGACAACCAAACGTAGACTCCTAGGTCACTATGTGCCTAACAAGCAAAACAACACAGCCTCAGATAACACATTTTAGCACCCATTCTTTTTTGACTGGTTAAAGACATGACAGCGCAACGAGAAGCACTGTCTGAGCCAAAATGAACAACCTATGCAGTAGTATTTAGTGGCAAATTAGATTCACCACCAACATCATCCTTTAAACTTCTTCTATGCAAGACAATTAGCGGCTTCTTCAGGCACATCCATGAAGAACTAAGTCAAGCAGAACACCCACAAAGAGCTTTTAACATCTGGACTCAAAGCTATAAAACCTCAGAACATTACTTACAGGTCACACGCTCATATGAGACCGTTAACATTTTGGAGGAAAAGACATAGGATTGTAAAGATGACCGTACATACGTTGACTCCTGATTTTCACTCATGAGGTATACAATAAGCTGGCACCCAGAAGGTAAATCAAAACACAGAGCAAAGCTACAGGCAAGCAGGTAAGTGAACTGAAGCTGTATTGCAGAAGCTACCCAAAATGATGTCTAAATCATGGAAGCTAAATTGCCAGCACCTCTTCTACTTAAAATGTCTCAGCTCTAGCTCCTTTGAAATCAGCTTTTGTTTTTCCTAAAGACAATTTCTGTATTGCTCATTTTTCATTAGCTTACATCACTGCCCTCCCCAAATTTAAACATGTAGCAACAGAAGGAGGTGTTAAAAATTGAAGTCTTCTCTTGTCCAAATACATTTTTATCTGTTTTTTTTTTTTTTAATGTAGCATTTTGGGATGTACAGGGCAACACTACATTTTTGAGATGCACCTATTCATCATCATGGCCTGCCTCATACAATTTGATGTACGAAGTGTTGAAACCAGGTAGAATACTTCTCAGTCCACCAGAGAGACCTAAGATTGATGGATACAAGCTCTGATTTTATACGGCAAATGTCCTCTCAAGTCCTCTGCAGAAAAGTGAATTTCCATTCTTTGTCTGCAAACCAATAAAGGAAGAATGTTTTTCTGTTATTGCTTACTGCTTAATTTCTATATTACAAATCATTCTGACCTTCCAGTTCCAAATTTCCAAGTTTTATAAAAGGTCTACCTTCCTAACATACAGCCAGGAAAGAGTTCTCTTGAATGAAACTTTACCATTATTCGGTTAATTCTGGAGTAATGAAAATGCCTTTTTTTAAGTGGCAGGAGTTCTGTTTAGGGGAAAGTATAAAAACTACCCTTCAAATTTGAAGTACTGTAAGACTGTTAGCAGTGCCAAAATGACAAGTTAATTTCAAATACTGTGTGTAATTAAACAAAACTCAAAAGATCAAGGCAAAAGGATTTGATCTACCTGGTGAATGGTTTTCAGACTTCTACCGTGGAAAAGTCTGCACAGTTTGATCCGAAACTGGTCTAACAACACAGAGAAATTACACCATTCAATGGCCATGAATTTTAGAACCGATTCCCTGATACTTATCGAGGCTGTTTTGCAATAGTGAGACCCTCTCACTATACATATATAGATTCAGTGTTGTGTTTTGAGAAACATAAGACCATTCTGTCAAATATGAGATCACAAATTCTAAAAGCAGAATTTTATGAGGGACTGCTTGAATTTAGCAAGCTGAAGCTCTCTATCATAATCATAATGACAGTTTTACAATGAAGTTTATTTGCCACCAACATTAGCAGGACAAATTTATTTATAACAAATGCTTTAAAATGTACTGATAAAAATGCCTATTGATACTGTCAGAGCTGCTTGCAATTTGACAGATCAAATCTTATTTTCATTCTTAAACCCCATGAAGGAATGGTATCACCAACTTGCATTCTGTAGTGAGCAAATTGATTAATCCCCCTCTATAGAAATCTCAACTCTTGATTACACCTATCAGACGTTAAGCAGCATTATTCTAGAGTGACAACACTTGACAAATTCCCAAACCATTTTTCTCAGCCTTTGTGGCCCTGCTAGCTTGTATTAACCCTGATGAAAAATTAATTTTCCTTATCTTCGGCTAAACCCCAAAATCCAAATCCGCCAAACTGGCAACTCTTTCTGTAAAGGTATTATGAAAACCTCTAAAAGATTAATTGCATGTCTTCAGGTGAC